TGTATAGAATACAGACATACTCTGATTTTAAAAGTAACCCGAGGAGAATGATTTCATGCTGAAATGCAAATAATAGAATATGAATTTGCCCTCCCCCCATTTTCCACCCTCCACCGGTGGTTTACACTTGGCCACATACATCTCAGAATATCCCAGGTACCAGAGACCCCATGCACTTCCTAATTTATTCACAGAGATCCACAGATGATTCCTATTTTTGTAGAAGATTGACATGAGCAAGTCATCAGGGTTTATACACTGCCAAGCTGGGAGTTGAACCTGGGTAGTCCTTGCCCTTCAAGAAGAGAAGATTGTATAGAACTAGGGGAAGTGTTTCTACATGGAATGGGATGCTGGACTGGGATGATGGCTCAGCAAGCACGACGACCTGAGTTTCATCCCTAGAACCCATAAGCCACATACAGTGGTGTCTAATCCCAGAACTGGGGAGACAGAGACAGGTGAGTCCTGGGCCTTTCTGGTCAGTTGTGGTGATGTAATATGTGAGCCCCAGATCCTAGTGAGAGACTGGACCCTGTGTCAGAAATCTTGGTGTATGGCTCCTGAGAAATGGCACTTAAAACATGCACATATATGTGCACAAAATAAAGGATAAGTTCCCGGCATGTTACGAACGAACAATGAACCTGGTGTGGGGAGTTCCTTGGAGGGTAATTAGCTGGTAGCTACTGCCCAGTGTTAACAGGTCACAGTGCATTGCAACTGCAGTGTTTGCTCCTTGCTGGGCTCTCCTTGTTCTGACCTCTGCAGAACTTGTTTAACTCCTAGAGAAACCAGAACTGTTTTTCTGGATCCTGACAGGTGTCCTGGGGTTCACTCCCCCCTTGCCTCTTGGGACTTGGGGTCAGTGGCTAACAGCCTCTGAGGTTGTTGGCTGCCTATAACTGTCCAGGTGTCTGTTCTCCCTTGTCGCTGATAAAATAAATGTTCAGTGGGCCTAAAGAACAGCTTTGGTCCAGTTGGTGTGAGCCCTCTGTTGTGATCAGGAGAGTGGGTCACTGGGAGATCCCGCTGCTGTCACAGCTGCAGATGGTAACAGTGGCACTCACCGCATTATGTGCCAGAACATGTTTTATAGGTCCCAGGTAACGCTTGCTGATCTCTTGAATTCAAGCAGGTACCAGTAATAATAACCCCATGTGCAGGCTTCAGGAGGCCTCGATCTCCAGGGCACATGACTACAAGTGAGCACCACCTAAATAGTACAAGGCCACTCTAGCCAGGCTGGGACAGGGTGAGAGATGAGGTGGTTGTGTATGATAAGATCATCTTGACTCTTCACAGTCCCCTGACATCAGAAGCTTTGGTTTAATGGTGCACACACAGGCTTGGAAGATCAGTAGCTTGCTTAAGGCTGTTTGCACAGGAAGTGGCAGAGCCAGACCGGGAGGCAGGTCATGTTCTGTGCCACATCTAATTAGATGTTGCTCAGTGGATTTGATGGGTCTAAGGAGTCTTATTCTGAAGCTTTAAATCCTTCAAGATGTCTCAAGAGTGCCTAGACCACACAGGGCTCTGTGAGCAATCCTTGCCTCCCAGCCTTCTGTTTTATTTGTGTATGTGTGGGATGGAGTGGGCGATGGTAGGTGTACATGTAACATCGTGTGTGTGTGTGTGTGTGTGTGTGTGTGTGTGTGTATGTAGGTCAGAGGTCAGTTTGTGGGAGTTTTCTCCTTCTGTCTATCATATGGGTCCCAGGGATCTGACTCGGGTTGCCAGGCTTCGCAGCACACACATCTTACACATTGAGCCATCTTGGGATTTATTTGTTTTGGAGAAAGGATCTTATTAAATACAAGCTGGCTTCCACAATCCCTCTGTCTCAGCATCTCAGATGCTGGGCTTTCAGGTGTAAACCACTATACCTGACTTCTGAGTGTTTCTTAAATGTTTTTTTTTTTTTTTTTTTTAATGTGTACATACACATGCCCCAGTTGTGCAAGTTGTGAGAGTCAATTTTTCCACCATGTGGGTCCCAGGGGCCAAGCTCAGGTCATCAGGCTCAGCAGTGAGCACCTTTATCTGCTGAGCTGTCTCACTAGCTCTCTGGGAGTATTGTATTTTGAGTGTAGGATGTGGGGCTGCTGTGAAACCCAAGGCCAGACTCCCGTCAGCCATTCTTAATACCATATAATTCTGTTGCTATCTAGTTTTGTTTTAGATTATTTTATTATTACATTATTTTTCAGGACTGGGGATTAAACCTGGTTCCCACATGTGCTAGGCAAGTGCTCTGTTTGCCATTGAGCTGTGTCAGTCATTTTAGGCATGAGACAGGGTCTCACTATAGTCCTGGCTAGCAGGAGAACCACCTGCCTCCCAGTGCCAGCAATATAGTTGTGTATCACCATGGTGTGTTTTTGAGACAAGTTTTTCTGTGAATACCAAGCTGGCTTTGCACTCACTGTGAAGCCCAGGCTATCCCCAATTTATAGTAGTTCTTCTTCCTCAGTCTTCCAAGTGCTGGGATTACAGGCATGTGTGACTGTTGTGATTTAGAAAGGTTTTTATGTGGTAGTCCTGGTTGGCCTGGAACTAACTTGTGTTTGGATCAAGCTGCTGGCCTTGAACTCACAAAGGCTGTTGTTAGCCACAAGTGTTAGGATTAAAGCTGAAGCCAACTGTGGTGGCATATCCCTTCATCTCAGTACTAAGGAGGCTGAGGCAGGAGGCTTTGAGAAGACTAAAGTGGGGGAAGGATAGACAACTGTGCCCTCCTCTCCCCTCCCCTGAGGACAACTTGGAGCCAGTGCATCCCCAGTGCGAGGTCCTTGACTTGAAGTGTAGAGAGTTTAACTTGTTCATGCTGAGTGCTCTTCATGTCCTTACAGACATGAATAACAACAGGTTGAAACCAGGAGCTGCTAGGAAAACATTCTAAGAACTTTCTTAGAGGTAGCTAACCAACTACCTCAGAAGGAAGTTGGTTTTAAGGGCAGGGTGTGGGAGGGTGAGAATGAAGGCTAAAATGTTGTCTGGGAACATTTTTTGGGAAATAACTGGAGGGAAAATGGTTTGGGGGTAATTTAAAAAAAAAGATTTATTTATTTATTTTGCGTGTGTATGTGTATGTGTATGTATGAGTATGGGTGCCAGAAGAGTGAGATCTCCCTGGAGCTGGAGTTACAGCTATTAATTCAGGTCATCTGCAAGAGCAGTGTGCAGTCTCAACTGCTGAGCCATCTATCCAGCCCCTGGTAATTATTACACTATTGATAAATACCCCAGGGCTGGGTGTCACTCCCTAAGAAAACAACCAACCCTTCCCTAGGTGTGTTCCTGTTGTGTTACGGGTGGCCTACTGCCTTTAGTTGTTTACTGCTCTGGACAGTTCCACTCCCCTGCCATAGGCAGGACAGGCCCCTCACCTGTTTGAAAGCCACCATGTGTGTCTCTGAGATATTTTCCCTGCTCTCATCCCACGTGGGTCATGGGAATCCGATCTGGATTATCAGGCTTGCCAGCAAGCACCTTTACCCACTGAGCCAAGCCCTTCACAGCTCAGGTAGATCATTCTCCCTCCGCCTCCCTAGTGTGGGGTTTGCAGGGAGGCCACCATGCCTTGATTTTTCTCACGTAGCTTTCCAGTGGGGTGCTCTGCCATCTGTGTCTTCTTCTCTTTTCACTTCTGTGTCCTAGGTCTTGTGGTTAAAGCGCAGATGTGAACCTGCTTGTCCTAGTCACTGCTGAGAGGCTGCCCACAGAGTGAACCCTGTCTTAGGAAGGTTATTGGATAGTGTGCTGGGGCGTTGAATAAGATGACAATGGATGTGTCAGTGTTACTTTCAGACCTTGATCTTCTGGCCAAAACAGACAGCATCATGGCGTAGCATGGTTTCTGAGTCAAGTTCCTAGAGGGTAAGACAACAACAGGGTGTGCTGGTGGCTTGGGCTTGCGATAGCAATCGAGGTTCTCAGAAGCCTGCTAGACTTTGATTACTATAGTAAGTCCCTGGTGAAGATAGGGGAAGTAGGCAGTGCTAACAGTCAGCTGTCCCACTGTCCCTGCCTTCTTGATCTGCTAGTATTTGAGCTTGCCAGCTGCTAGTCCCCTGTGTGCCTGCACTGTGTACCACATTACCCAGAGACCCATTTGGTGTCTTTCTTTCCTCACCGGGGTAGCACCAGGCAATGTGTTATTTGTTTGGAACCCAGGGCAGGGCCTCAGATAGTGTGTATAGCTTAGCGCCTAGGAACCCTTTGCCTTATGATCCCCCCCCCTCATTTTCAGCATGGCTTGGCCTCTGGGTATTGAGTTTGGGAACGAGATGTGTTTATGATTTGGTGTGGGGGGGCAGGAGTATGGGTAGCAGATTCATGGTTCATGTGATGGTTTCTAAGGATGTGCAGGCTGTCAGGTGAACTTGTTCCAACTGTTCAGGGAACCCCAGTGGAGCTCGTGGACACAGTAACAGAGTATATTATTTATTCCCTTACTTTTCAGGAAGAGCCTGCTGTTGGATCTTTGTGTGGGCCATGTGTCCACGTGTTTGTTGAATACAGGCAGGTGACTCTCTGGTGTTCAAGATGAAGCTGTGTGACTGAGGGCTGTGGGGTTTTCTGGTTTGACTTAGGCCAAGTATCTCTGAGGTTGGTCCTCATGCTATCTAGTCTTCATCTGTGTCTGCTAAAATATCTGGGTTGTTTGCTTTTTGAGATACCATCTGATTGATGTAGCCCAGGCTGCCCCCAAACTCACCATTTCCTGCTTCAGCCTCCTGAGTGCTGAGTATTCAGAAAAATCTGATACTGTATATAATAGACAAAACAGATGTGTCCTGTCAGTCCCATGACTTACTTAGGGCGGTTCTCTACCTGGCCAGCCATCTCTGTGATGCAGTTAGCATTGTCGTGGCCTAGTAAGGACCAAGTGACTGCTCAGGTGGCAGGCAGGGCTCTTTAGCACCATGGTCTTATGCATCAGGCTTGTTAGGAAGGGACTCCTTCTCATATTGGTTCTCCTTTTTTTTTTTTCCCAGCTCTGACCACCCCTGTCCAAGACCCAAAGGTGTGTGCTGGGGGCTCAGCGGTGCTGTGCAGGGATCTGAAGACAGCAGTGGGATGCGGGGCCCTGAAGCACTGCCAGCAGATGGTGTGGAGCAAGCCCACAGCAGTGAGTGCCAGCCACGGGACACCCTCCCCGTGTCTTCTGTCACTGTTGTAGAGCACCTACTTCTCCTGACCCCCTTGGGGACCCTGTGGCAGATAGGACCTGCCCTTGGTGGTGTCCAGCTTACCTCAGAAGCAGAGACTCAGAGTCCTGCCCCTTCGGGACCTTGTCTCTTGGTCCCACACTCCCTTGTGGGCCTTCCTTCAGGTCGTGCCCCCTTCCCAGATGAGGGGATGGTGGGTTGTGGTACCCAGCTCAGAATACGTCTGCTCATTCTCCCTCATCCCTCAACCAGGCAGACCACTGAGCCCTGAGACCCTGCTGTAGCTATGGCACTTTATTTCCAGCTGTAACTGTGCTGGGGAAGATGACCGCCATGATGTTAATGATGATGATAAATGGAACATGTTAGTGCGAGGCTCTGAGAAATGGATAGAGATGGGCAGACTTGCCATGCATTCTTACCTGTATCAAACCTCAGGGACTAAGCACAGAATAATGGGGGCTGCTACTGACTTGTGTTGGGACGCGCCAGTGGGACAGGCTGAGTTTGACTTAGTGGACTTGTCAGGGCTGACTACCCACTTTTATTTAGCAAGAGAAGAAAACTTGATGAAACGTTGTCCATTCACTCAGCAGAAAGTCATCGTCTTGTGGCCAGGACCTTACTTGGGTTCTCATTTGCTTTCAGTCCTGTTTTGAGTATTGCCTCTTCTTAGCAAGTTTCCAGTGCAGTGAGTGAGGGCTGTGGAACCTTCTGGATTGGTAGTGTGGCAGTGATTAGGACAGCACCTTGAGGGGTGGGGTAGGAGGGGTTCATTGTGTGACCTGTCCAGACATATAGGACTTTCTCTGTCATGTTCTTTTCCTCTTAGAAATCCCTTCCATGTGACATATGCAAAACTGTTGTCACTGAAGCTGGAAACTTGCTGAAAAACAATGCCACTCAGGTGAGCTACTGTGGAGGAGGGTGGGTATGGACTGTAGCTGGAGGCTGTGTGTTTTAAGACACCTGTCTGTGGCTCTGGGCTCCAGAGAAGAGCAGTGTTGGCCCAGGAGTGGTGCACCTTATAGGATACACTAAATCTGACTGAGCAAGTTCCTTTTATTCTTAAAGGTTTTGTTTTTCATTTTTAAAGATTTTTAAAATTTATTTTTATTTGTATGAATGTTTTACCTACATGTATATATGTGTACATCTGTGCCCAGTGCTCACAGGTCAAAAGAGGGCATAGAACCCCTGGAACTGGAGCAGCACGTGGTTTGAGGCACCATGTGGTGCTGGGAACCGAACCCAGGTCCTCAAGAGCAGCAGTTGCTTTTAACTGTCTCGCCATCTTGCCTCTTTTTTTTTTTTTTTTTTTTTTTTTTTTTTTTTTTTAAAAGGCAGGGTGTCACTATACAGAGAAAACTCTATGTAGGGCAGGCTGCCCTCAAACTAAGATATGATTGTCCTTGCTGGGATTAAAGGCTACAGTATCCGCTCTTTTGTCTTGTTAGGTAGCTCAGGTTTTCCCTGAACTTGTTGTCTATTGTCTTAGCTGTTTGAGTGCTGGAATTGTAGGAACGTACCACCACACTCAGCTTTAACACCATCATTTGTGTGGGTGTACATGTGATGTGTTGGTGTACTCATCTGTATGTGGGTATATGGAGGCTGAAGTAGACTGGGTGTCTGCCTCTATCTCTCTTCATTTAATTCACTAAACATGGGCTTGTCATTTCAGCCAGTCTCTCTGGCCAGCCACTCCTTGGGATCTGCCTGTTTTCATTCCCTGCCTCCCCAGCCAGCACTGGGGTTTGAGGTGTGCTTTGCTAGCCCTGACTTTTATGTATGTGGGTGCTGGGGATCCAAACCTAGGCCTTCTTGATTGTTGCTGGAGTCACTGATGAAGGACCGTTTGCCTTGCATTGTGTCTCCTTGCAGGAAGAGATCCTTCGTTACCTGGAGAAGACTTGTGAGTGGATTCATGACTCCAGCATCCAGAACTCGTGCAAGGAGGCAGTTGATTCTTACCTGCCTGTCATCCTGGACATGATAAAGGGGGAGATGGTATGTCATTGGGGGAGGGCTCAGAGCAAAGGGGCTGAAAAGGGAAGTGTGTCCATGGCTTTGTGTTTCTCCTGCAGCTCTTCACATGGCTTCTTGCATGGGGTAGCTATGGTACAGTGGCTTTGCTGGGGCCAGGGGGCCTTGGACTCATGCATCCTGTTGAAAGATAGAAATCAGTAACTCTTGTCAGGCCTCTATTTCTAGAGCAATCACATATCTTCATCTTCTGTGTATGTAGAATTGAGGACTAATCCTGGGTCTATAGTGTGAGAACAGCTACTAAGATACTGGCTTGTCACAGCAGCCACATGTGTACTATGTCGACGCTGGGTACCAAAAGCTAGAAATCAGCAGTGAAGCAGGAACTAGTCTTGTGGAATTTGAAAGGCTTCAGGAAAGAGAGGTGCTGAAGAGTGCATAAGGTGGAACTGAGGTTCTGTGGGGGAAGGTGGGCATGATACAGAGCCTTCTGTGTCCCGTGACAAGACACCCAGGAAGAGTTCTACATCATTCATTGCTGGAGGTGTTGTGGGGACAGTGGAGATGGACAGATGCACATTGTGTTTTGAAGAATGAATAGACTGGCCTTACTCATGGAGGGGGAATACAGGAGCATGAAGGGCTGGGAACATTTCTTGGTCTCTGGGGAGTTGGGAGTGGGCCATGTGGAAGGTGTTGGTTTAAAACCAGTGGGTTGCTTTAGCTTGCTTGTAGCTTGTGAGCAGGCCATCACTCAGTTCCTGACCCTTCCCCTCTACTCAGTGGCTAATCTCCCTTTAAAGAAGAGCTGCAGTGACATTTTGGGGCTGGGAGGCCTCTGTAGGTTAGGTGCGGTGTTGTAACTTTTCTATTCGTCCGTCCTAGGTGCACTGAGTAGTATAGTGTTCTTAATGGACACAAGGGAGGAACTGACTGGTGACGCAGGCTTCTCTTGCCCTGTGGGCTTTGCTTTCAGCTGTCTCTTCTCCCTTCCAGAGCAACCCTGGGGAAGTGTGCTCTGCCCTCAACCTGTGCCAGTCTCTCCAGAAGTACTTGGCTGAGCAAAACCACCAGAAACAGCTTGAGTCCAACAAGATCCCAGAGGTGGACATGACCAGAGTTGTTGCCCCCTTCATGGCCAATGTCCCTCTCCTGATGTACCCTCAGGATCACCCCTACAGCCAGTCCCAACCCAAGGTTAGCTGAAGGCGGGTGGATTCAGTGGGAACATTGCACATGGTGCTGAACAGAACTTCTCCACTCTGTCCCTTGGCTTTAGTTTCTAGAGAATAAGATATTTTAAATATGCAGAGATGCCCACTCTCCACTGAAGCATAGCTTCTCCAGGCCATGCCCTACTGCCAGTCCCATGTAGTACTGTTACCAGAATAAATGGCCTGGAGGTTAAAAGCCTGGCTTCCAGGAGCTGATAATAAGTCAGTCGTCTATAGTGAGATATGGCATTCTCTCAGAAGCTTGCTGCTCTTCTCCATGTAGGCCAATGATGCTGTCTGCCAGGATTGTGTGAAGATGGTAACTGACATCCAGACTGCTGTGAGAACCAACTCTACCTATGTCCAGAGCTTGGTGGAGCATGTCAAGGAGGAGTGTGACCGCCTGGGGCCGGGCATGGCTGACATGGTGAGTCTCTGTCCCCCATGCTTTGGATGTGTTCTAGGTTAAGGTAGGAGCAAGTGGGGTGTGGCTATGTTTTGGTTAGGTGAGTTGGCATGGGAAGAAAACCACTTTGGTAATGCTTTTTTCCCCTTCTGTCACCATACATAAGAATCACTAGAACCATTTTATTTGTTTTAAAAAGCAGCTGATTTGTATGTACGTGCGTGTGTGACACAGTAAGTGTATGGCTGTCGGAGGACAACCTGTGGGAATGTTGTGGGCCTTGCCTTGCCTTTTCTCTGAGTCTTCTTGGCAGCTCTAGAACCTGTTTTGAAAAGCATGGCAGTGTCTTTGAACAAGGGTTACAGCTCTGCTCCCTCCCAGAAGTGGGACACCTGATAGCAGCTTGCAGGACATTGCTTCTGTGGCCTCAGCGCCCACATATGAGAATGTGTGAATGTATGACTTTGGAAGGTTCTTAACAGTGTTTCGCAACTACAATATCTAGATTGCTAATAATGATGGCTCTGTGGTCTTGGGGCATTTAGCCTGTCAGACACTGAGGCCTCCAAGGTCCTTTGTTATAACATCTCCACAGATTTTATATAAGGGGTAAAATAACCAAATTGCCGTATTATCTTAGTTAATCTAAAGAGATGCTTAGATCTGTTCTGGGAAATCTTTTTCCATGTGAGAGCAGGTCTCTCTCTCTTTCTGTGTAGCTCAGGCTGGCCACAGCCTCTGGCTGCTGGGATTATAGGCCTGTCTATGTTTATGTGCCAGTGCCCAGTGGGTACTGTTGGATGCCATTTGGGGTGTGATGAACTGAATCCTTGTCTCTGCAGTGCAAGAACTACGTCGACCAGTACTCTGAAGTTGCCGTCCAGATGATGATGCACATGGTAGGTGGCCAGGGACCCCTGGTTATCTTCACAGTTGACAGCTCCATGCTTTAGGGTGCTCTGTTTCCATTTGTCCAGCAAACTCCCTGCTCATGACCTTAGCCTGTCCTCCTGCTAGCAAAGTCTTCCTTAGCTGATGCGACCCTGGACTGTTCTGATAGCTGTCCTGGTTGCCTGGGGCCTGCTAGTCTGTGTGCATGTGTGACTTGGCCATCAGATTGCTAGTGTCTGGCTGAATGCTGGGATCAGTAGGGGTATCGTGCCCCGCCACTAAACCAGGGTGGGAGAATTCAAAGGGCAGCCTGTGTTCTGTGTCAGGATGGAAGGAATCTCACCTAGCAGTGCTGGATCTGTGTTCAGAGAAGAGAGTCAGCCACAGCTGCTGCCCAATCTCCTAGCTCCTGACAGCCACCATCTGACCATGTCCAGAGGTTGGGTGGAGAGGTTCATTGTCTGAGAGGTGGGAGACAGCTATCCTAGGCAGAGCTGAGTGGGTGGGTGGCACATGTCTCCACTCTCTCATGGACTGCTGTAAGTCCTCGTTCATGTTTGAACATAGGCCCTTTTCCTACTTTGTGTATACTTACCACCCAGCTGCTGGCCTGACCTGCTCCACAAGCAGGCCCTCTGGCCAGGTGGCTTGTTGAGGATCGTTGCTCATGCCCCAGATAGTGAGCCATCTAAAGGCAGCTTATAAAGCCCTGCATGGTAAAGGTAAAGCTTTGATGTGAAGTGGCCCAGTGAAGATCTTCCAGTCATTTTATTAAAGGGGGAGGGAGGGTTAAAGATGTTTTATGTATCAAATCATTTGCATTTTGGAAACATAGCAGCGAGCATACATTTTTTTTTATGCCATCTTAGTTTTACTTTTTTCTCTAAAAAATTTTTTTTGTGGGGGGGGGATATAATTTCCTCTACCTTTTCCCCTAAAAATGATGATCTCATTTTGCGGCTCTTTGGCCTGAGAGTGAAGGTGTGACCACCATACCCAGCTGCATATTAACACTGCTGTCTCCATGGTTGTCGCTGTGCTCTGTGGGTAGAGTAGGCTGCCTTTGGAAGGATAGCTCCCTTGGCTATAGCACCCATCACCTCGTTTGTCACTTAGGATAACTGAAGCTAGAATTCCTAACCAAAGCCCACACATCCACCTTCCAGGCTGTCATCTGCCCTCAAAAGGCCAGGTGTGATTAGTCCAGAGATGGAGGCCCTTTACAAGGACAGTTTCCACCAGCTGTGGAGCATGGCCTGCCCTTGAGGGCTGGACTAGCTTTCTAAGCCCCATTCTTCCCTCACTGCCAGGGTATTGCCCTAAAACTTTGACATCCTTATGCCTAGGTAACTGCTTGACTGTTGTTTTAATTTTTCTTAACTGTTGTGTCCTTTCCTTTCTCTTATTTTCACCTCCGATTTCCTGTTTTTTTGTTCAACAGCAGGATCAGGTATGTGATGAGAATTTGCTTGTGGTAGTGGTCTGCTGCTTCTAGTTGTTGGCTTTTTTTTTTTTTTTTTTTTTTTGGGTCTGGCATGGTGAGCTCTGAGCTACTATAAAGGATCTCCCCATACTTGGTTCCTTGAGATTGAGCACTTTGGGTTATGGGGGCTTAATTCCCCCTTTTGGAGGGTCAGAAGGTGGTGAAGCTAGCAGAGCCTATGCTTAGGTCAGCACCAGCATACATGCCAGTCACCAGGGTGATGATGGCAATACCTTAACTTCCTTCAGTGAAAGAAGGCACTGACCCAGTAGGACACACTGGATGATATTGCATGACTTTGTGCCGTTTTCCTAATCCCAGAAATGCTTCTGCATGAGCAAACTAGATACAGACAGTGGCTTGACTGGCTGGATGGAGAGACTTGTACATGGTCTCTCAGTTGTGGCTTCTACCCTTTAGGGAATGGGTCATGGGGCCTCACTGGATGGCATGTTTTACAATAGTGACTGAGCGGTTGTCCTTTTGGGTCTGTTCTTAATATGACCTTCAAGGTCTAGGATTTGCATTCTAGATACTGGGAAGCATTTTGAATCTCACAGGAAAGGATTTAAATTGAAATGCCTGAATTTTCATTTGCCTGAATTTTTATTTATGCTGCCTCAGACGGCCCCCTAAATTTTGGCATTCCTTCCCTTCCAACCAAAAAAGCTTTTCTACCTTTATTCTAATTCTGGCCCCTATCTCCTAATCTTGGGCTGTGTTATAAAGACAGGGAGTTTAGGACACGTGGCCTTAGTTCTCTAACTTCAATTGTACAGGTAGACCGTGGCCATCCATGGTCTAGCCCTCAGCATCCTTGCTCCCATGCTGGGCTGAGTGCTGTTTGTAGTTGGTTCACACCACAGGGTCTGTGGATGGGGCTTGCTCTTGGCTTTGGCAGTGTGATGGACAGTCAGAATATTCACACTTGGTTCTCTGTGGCTTGGTGTCTAGATGGTGAGAGGGGATCTGTGTGAAGCCCTTGTGACTGTAAATGCCTCCTCAGCTTGGGTCCAGGCTCTTACTTGTACTATGTGCAGTTGTGAACATAGAATATGGCTTTAGGAAAAGCCAACATCTCTTCCCTTACTGTACCATTTTAAATGGTGCTGTCAGAGAAGAGGGTCCATGTGGTTTTAATCCTGACACATTGGGTTGTCTGAGATCATGGGCCTTGTGGTTTCCCTCAAGTGGACTGGGAGAAGTCCACTTGTGCCCAGCCATCCTTGGGGCACAAAAAGTGGTGGCCCTGACTGGAGCAGCAGAGGCTAAGGGCCACTTCCTCCAGGTGGAACTGGTGTCCATGCACTTTATTTGGAGCCCTTTGGATTGAATCTGAAAGCTCAGCCTGAGCGGGAGGAGTCAGCTTTTATGCCAGAGCCTTAGCACCCTGACCTCGGTGTCTAAGGAGGGGTTTGAAAGTAGCAGGCGCAGGCCAGCTGACAGCGACTCTACCTTCTTCAGCAACCCAAGGAAATTTGTGCTCTGTTTGGCTTCTGTGACAAGACCAAGAAAGTACCAATGAAGACATTGGTCCCTGCCAGTGAGGCCTTCAAGGACATCTTCCCTGACCTGGAACGGATGGACTCCTTTGAGGTACCTGCTGTCACTGTTGGGTCTGACAAGAGCCCATAACCCCTTGTCCACGTTGTCACACCCTCTCAGAGTGCCCCAGGCCTTTGGGGTACTCCTCTTCTTGAACAGGCCAGACAACCGGTTGAGGAGCTGGCTGCAAGCTAACCATTCCATGTGTGGTTCCTGAGTCCCGTCTCCAGAGCCACAGTACAAACTGGAGGTTCTCAGAACACATGCCCTGAGGCTGGGGCAGAACCCTCTTTGGGTTTATTGCCTGTGTGTAAGGACATAGGCAATACTGTGTTCTCAGAACCCTTCCTTGGCCCCAGGGTACACTGCTCCAAGCCATAATACATGTACATTGAACATGACTGTGGGTCAGATAGTATTTGGGATGCCCTTTAGGTTCATGGGATACTTACTGCCAACTTAGGACCTGATGCCTTCACACAGAGTACATTCTTCTGATTCAAGAACACCTATGTTGTCTGGCCACCAGCTGTTTTCTTGTTCTGTCTTTTGCACACACTTTTGGTTCAATACCACATTGGCTTTTGGTCCCCAGCTGTCCACTTGTCTTGTTCTCCTGCACATACTCCTTTGGTTCTAGAACACCCATGGTGTCTGACCACCAGCTGTCCCCTGTTCCTTCTCTTCTGTTCTCAATGTGTGGCCATAGGAGAGAGGACAAGGTAACTAATGGGATAAGGGAATTGTCTGGGAAACCCCTACCCCCGCTCCCCACTTCAGTTCCCTGAGAGAAGGCAGTTGTCTGAATTAAGGATTCCGGTCTTTGGAATACACTGCATTCTAAGGGCCTGTGGGACAATAGAGATGGAAGACAGTAGGTACAGAGGCCCCCTGACAGCACTATATTACCAGAGGTGGATTCAGGAAATCAAGAGCTGGCATTGACTTCCAAACAGGCAGAAACCAAGTCAGTTCTACACTGCCATCTTCCTCTCCCATGTGAACATAGGATAGAAAAGTGATGAAACATCCGGGGGACGGGCAGCTATTCTAGGAAGGAAGGAAGGAAGGAAGGGATTCCCTCTACTTTACTTCAAGTATGAAACTAGGGTGGTTTGGGTCATAGAAGGTTGAGGAAAGGGGATGGGCTTCCTTCCCATCTTGTAGTTAGGGGAAGCCACCATTACATTGCATTGGGTAGGCAGTGGCCTTTGAGGTTGTCCATTCTGTGGCGGAAGCATGCCTGTCCCAGCCTTAATAAAACATTCTCCTTTTTCCCTCTACAGGCCCACAACATTATTTTCTGCCAGGCTTGTAAGTTTGTGATGCAGAAGTTGTCTGGACTAATGGCTAACAGTGCCACTAAGGTATGTTGCCTCCTTTCTGTATTCCAGAGTCAGACGGTACCCATGGGACATGGTCTCCTGGCAAATGCACACCCCAGTACCCAGGAGGGAGGTTTGGAGCACCTTGTGCATTAGCCGGTGTGATCTTCAGGGGAGGGATGAAGCACCCCACTGTTGGCCATTCCCCGCTGGGTCTAGGTTCTCTTCCCAGCTAGCCCCAGTCTGATGCAATCCTTTCACCTGTTTCAGGAACTAGTAGTTAAAACCGTGAACAAAGCATGCTCACTGCTCCCCGCTCCTGCTTCAACCAAGTGCACGGATGTGATAGACACGTTCGGCTACTCCCTGCTGGATGTCCTTCTGAAAGAGGTGAGCCCAAGCTGGTGTGGTATGATCCGCCTCTGTTCCGGTAACCCTGATTCAGTGGACACATTTGAGCAGCCTGCAGTGTCCATCCTGCCTGCACTACCCAAACAGCCCGAACAGTCCGAAAAGCCCGCATTGCGTGGTAAGTCCAAGGCACATGGAGGAAAGGGAGCCATAAGAGGCCACTCTTGGGTTAAAGAGTGCCACAACTGAGCCCTATGTCCTGTGTAGCACATTTACCTCAGAAAACCGGTGGGTTCTGTGAAGTGTGCAAGAAACTGGTCAGCTATTTGGAACACAACCTGGAGAAAAACAGCACCAAGGAGGAGATACTGGCTGCACTTGAGAAGGGCTGCAGCTTCCTACCTGACCCCTACCAGAAGGAGGTATGGGCATGGCTGTGTTCCCTGCTACTATCTCAGTTCAAGTGTGCAGGAGGTTCCTCTGTACTCTAGACTTGAGGCTGGGAGGCAGCACAGAGCCATGGAAGGAAAAGGACCTAGGCTAGTGAGGTCAACTCCCGGACCCCGAGCTCTGGAGGCTGTATGGATACAACCAAAACCGCAACCCGTGTCCCTTTCCTTGGCAGTGTGATGACTTTGTGTCTGAATATGAACCTCTGCTGGTGGAAATCCTTGTGCAAGTAATGGATCCTTCCTTTGTGTGCTCGGTAAGCCTCACCAGGTGCCTGGGTCTTGTAGCAGCATGGGTGTGGTCTAGCAGGGTGGAGTCGGGGATTGTTCAATCTCCGCTCTGAAGGGGTCAGCCAGGCAGCTCATTTTTCCCTTTTGTCTTCTATTGTACAGAAAATTGGGGCTTGCCCTTCTGCCTCTAAGCTGCTGCTGGGAACTGAGAAGTGTGTCTGGGGCCCTAGCTACTGGTGCCAGAACATGGAGACTGCAGCCCGTTGCAATGTGAGTGTCCTGGACAGCCTTTTATAGCATGGCTGGGGCTTGCCTCGTGGAAATAGAACCACAGCCCTTATTGTGCTCTTGTCAAGGGATAATACATGACATCCCGCACATTGGAAGTCAGAGGATAACTTTTTGGAGTTGTTCTTTTCCCACCATTATGTGGGTCACAAGGATCAAACTCTGTATTGGGTTTGCATGGCATGTGCTCTTGTACCAAATATGTAGGACCCAGGGCCTCTGCCTCTGACAAGTCCTCTGGGGTCCCAGGGAACACATTTTTTTCCTAGCTGAGGCTCAGCATGAGCCTTGACTAACCTTTACCTAGGGTATGCCAAAGTTGTTTGAGCAGCTGGGTGGAGGGTTGCGTGTGCATGTGCGTGCGTGTCTTTCCTGAGAGGAGTGCTGGACCTGGCCTCTGGTAAATTACTCCTTCCTACAACTTTTGTTTCCTTGTCAGGGGAGATGAATCAGTCTGGGCCATTGGTGACCTATCTGTACTCTTACATGAAATGGGTGGCATGTGGGCCAGAGCCTGCCTGCCCCTCTTGTGCCCATGCTGGTTTTTTTTGTCTGGCAAAAGGACCTGGGAACCCACTGACAGTGGGTGAAGGGGTCTAGAGTCATGCTGCTGGGGTACTATCACAAGACAGTAAGAGGCTGTGTTTTTCTGGTTCTGGGTTAGTGTATTAAGAGATTGTTCAAGTTACAGATGCTGAGAGCTGTGCAAAGTCAGGTCACATTTTGTAGTGATGCTGCACTACACGTAACCTGTGGGTGTCTTGTGCAGCCTGACCTGTTTTCTTTTCTCCTCTCAGGCTGTGGACCATTGCAAACGCCACGTGTGGAATTAGTTTTCCAGCTTGCAGAAGTTGCGGCGTATTTGTGGGTCTAGGATAATGAACACACAAGATCTATTTGACTTCATTCTAAGTAGAACCTCTACCCTTCCCTGCTCCTCCTCTTTTTTTTGGTCTTTCCCCCATTCTGTAGCATTGCTGTCATGTAGGAGCTGCTGATGGCCCCTTCCAGTGTTCCCCTTCTGCCTGAAGGATGAGGACATTCAAGGTATCAGCTCTCCAGCTGCCCTTTGACTCACCTGCTGGTGGGGCTGCTGAGCTAGAGAGCAGGAATGCCTTCTGAGCCCTGACTTGGTCACCCCTCTACCTTGAAGAGGGAGCTGCTCACTTTCCTGTGGTACCAAGGAGTTTTCTATGACCGATTTGAAGCACAGGATAATGAGGTCTTTATGTTATGACAATGGCAATTCCATCAACCTAAAGATTTCAGAAGCACCTGCAGGTGGCTTGCTTGGGACACTGCTGTCTAGGTCTGCTTTTCCCTCTGCTTTCCTGTATTCCCTGTGGGCTAGGGTGGGGAGGGGGAAACTTCTGAATGTAATTTGCCCATGCCATGTGGGACTGGCCTTTTGTGAGAGTCATGGCCTTTTGTGAGAGTCATGAACAGTGTTGTCTGTCAGGGCTCTGCACGCCCCTATTCTACCTTATAGCTCTTGTTGAATTGCCCTTATCATGGATGAAGCATCTGCCTAGCAGTGGGTGATGAACTGAGGGGTCTCTATGTACATAGAGTAGGTACTATCTGGAACCTTGGCTGGTCTGTTGAAGAGCTGAAGCTTCTCCTGTGCCTCGGGTTGCCAGGAGACAGCCAGCAGGATTGGGCATGTGCAGCTAAATGGACCTAGAATTTAATTTGTTTTGCACTAAAGTTTCTGTGACTTAATAAAGTTCTGTTAATCAGATCTGGGCTTGTGTTTGACACCTCAGCCAGAGACATGAGGTCCCGAATCCCCGGCCCTTCCCATCCTCCAGAACTTCATACGTCATCAGAGTCAGTGTATTGCTGGTTCCATGTGAGGTGCTTTTCTTTTTAAGCAGCATTCCAGAAACTTTCATTGAGTATCAGTTAAACAAAACCTGGAGGAAATCTTGAGGGAATAACTTAAGAAAAGGAATACACACAAACAAACACTCTACATTCAAACCCAAGGGAACATCAGTCATGTCTGTCACCTAAGCATGACTGGGAGATGGGACGGATGCTTGGTTGCCTACATCAACCGTGTGTGTGTGTGTGTGTGTGTGTGTGTGTGTGTAGGGACAGGGAGCCACCTGGATGTCCAGCAGGCGGAAGGAAGTTCAGTTTTGTGCTGGGCCTCTACTCCGTTGTGGCATAGGGAGGGGCTGAGTAGTTCCTCAGGCTCTGGGGGCTCTCCTAGTGACCCTCCCTACCTTGTCTTTAGACACTTAGCATTTTTTTTTTAAGTTTTCTTAAAAAAATAACTGACTTTATGAAGGTAGGAGCAGATGCTGAACCAGTATCTGGTAGGAGGTGAATCCGAACAGCCGTACAGGCTGCCAGGGCCAGCCCAAGGTCCTTTGTAAAGGCTGGACTGGGCAGAGTTGGCTATGCTCCTGCCCTGGAGGGTGGTGGGTGGGCTGCTCAGCAGCGAGGCTTGACATCACAGCTCTGTGATTTCCAGCGGGCTCTCCATGATCACATCTCGAAGCTTGTGTAGAGGGGTGGACTTGGCCGACTCTGTGCGGGCGTTGCGCTCAAAGGCAGTTGCCTCAGAGGCTGTCAGAGTCTCCAGTGAGCGGTCCAGTCCCTTCTGGTCATCCTCTGGCAAGCTGTTGAGGTCAGTGGCCAGCAGTGTCCCTGTGCTGCCATGAACCATGTGAATTCCGTCTGGCCCCTTGAGCTCCATGGGTGGTTTGTGGCGGAAACGGAGGCTGCCCTGGCCTGGGCTGTGGTCCCCAGGCTCCTCTTCCAGCTCAGTGTGGATCAGCTGCAAAAGGTGGGACACAACCTTATGGCTCAGAAACTACAGAGGGCTGTGCCCAGGGTTTGAGTAGATGACCCCAGAACTGCACTGGCTGTGGCTACTTCTTCACCACCTCATCTAACGGACCCACCCAGCAGACCTGCCAGCCATCTCAAATGGAGGGCAGAGGCTAGATATTAAAAGGGTCACTAGATGTCATCCAGTGTGGGTATCAATCTGAATTCCACTGTGGTGTAGGAGTTGTAACTAAGTTGATACTAAGCACGGCCAGGCAGAACCTCCCCAGAAGTGGGAGCACACTGGCTCTGCCCAGACTTCATCTCTCTTGGTAGCACTTAGGTGAAAATGGGCTTTAGGGGAAGCCAGGGTAACTGTCAATCTCTAGTTGCTGGAATAGTAGCCAGTGTAGGCCTGCTTGGTCCTCCTGACTCATTTCTTAAATTGAAGGCCCCTTAGAAGATGGTTTGGGGTTCTTGGAAAGACCCGTCAGAGTCCAGACAGCACAACCTCCTATCTGAATTCCCGGAGCCTCCTCTGGCATAGCCTTTGGGTTGGCTGCTAGGTGAGAGAGGAGGAAGAGAAAAGCAGAGATTGAGAACTTCCCAGTGTCAGGGTGGTCAAAGAGTGTGAGAAAGCAGCATCCCCAGGAATGGGGCACAGCACACCGGCACACAGATCCCCCGCTCCCGAGGCTACCTCACTACCTCGGACATGGAGGAATGGCAGGAGGAGGCTTTTTGCACCATCCGCTGTGCAAAGAGTTTTTTGAGCCGTAGGTAATCCTCCAGGACCACCTTCAGCAGCGAGCCCTGAGAGAAGGAGAGGGTTAACTCTCCACTTAGGCTGGCACCTGCCCTACCCCTTGCACATACTCCCATGGCAGTGAGGCATGGACAGGTATCCGGTCCTAGAGCAGAGGATGGGAGGAGAGCCTGACCACTGGCCAGCCAGATGCCATCTAAGACACCACACAAACCTCATTAGTCCTAGTGCCCAAACTCCTATTATAAAGCAGGTCCAATAAACCTACAGTTTCCAGCTCCCAGCATCCTTGAGTAGGGGGTCAAGTTCAAATGGGGTCTGGGTACAGGACCCTGCAGGGGAGAGCTCACCTTAATAGGCCCCTCTCGAATGATCTGGCCCAGCTTGGCAATGTTGTCATATTCCTGAATGGCTGCACGCAGGTATCGGTCATCATCCGGCTTGACTGCTGCTGGCTCACGCCCAAAAGTTCCCTAGGGAGAAGGAACATGGCTAGAGCAGAGAGGTTGACATCATATGCATACAACTGAGGGAACCACCCTCCAAAGTCTCCAGCTTGGCCACAGGCTGCCACTCTGGCTCACATGGGTGCGGGTGGGGCTGTTCCACAGATCTGCGATCTCACTCAGATTCTCAGGCAGGTCGTCCTCATGCTCAGCCTGTGCAGCCAGCTCCAGATTCCGGCAGAAAGGGTCCAGCCACACAGGGTTGGCTCTGCAGTTGGGGAGTGGGATATTGTGGGCAAGATTTCTTCATAGCCTTGCTTCTTAAGACCTGACCATTCCTTTGGCCAGCCATCATGCCTTCTGCAGGTCTGCTAGGAACTCTGCATGGCCCCTGTGGCTACATTCTTCTACCCTAGGATCCTGTTAGAGCCAGGACTGCATGCCAGCCTGGGTTAGCTTTGTCAGGGAAGCCTCACCCATTTCCTATTACCCCTGGACAGCACATTTCTGAGAGTGCAGAGACACGACTAGCCCACTAGGGGGTGCCAACACTCTATGTTTCAGCCAGTGCTGCTATAGATAAACTTCTCACTAGCTGCAGGGATCTCCAAAGGGGATCTGAAGACTTGAGGAGCCCACACACCCGTCAAAGGAGTATTTGTTGGTATTGGGCATGTCCATGATGTCAATGAAGCCACGGTTCCCTGTAGGGAGAGGATTTGAGTGAGGAGGAAAAGGGTACAACCAATAGGAGCACCTGGCTGCCTTACCCTGGCCCCCAACAGCCTTCACTCACCTGCAGAACCAGCCACAATGGCCTTGAGCTTCCTCTTGTGTCTGGAGAGAGAGGTGGAAAAAGGGCAGAGGGGAAGGAGGGAGAAGAGAGGGGGAGGGGGAAGAGAGGGGGAAGAGGGAGAGGAGGAGGGAGAAAGAGAATCAGTTTCTTAAGAGAGGCTTGTCCTGCTATCTTTGGTCCTTGGCCCTGCCTGCCTTGGTGCCTGCTGACCAGAAGACGACCTTGGCCTTTCTGGTTCAGGCCTGAAGTGGGGTCACTCACACGGTCCTGTAGTACCAGTTCATGAGGACGAAGAGCATGGCAGCCAAAAAGAGAAGGATGGCTAGGACAATGATGGCCATCTGTGGAGATAGCAGGCCAGCCATTAGCGGGTGGGTTCAGGGGCACAACCCAGACCACAGGGTCTGATTGGCAGAGCAAGGGTACCTGCAAGGCAGACATGTCATCCGGCAGCTGGACAGAGATGGCGGGCTGCACATCCAGGACATTGTAGTTCCGGAAGAGGTTCCGCAGCTGCTCCTTGTTCTCGTCAATCATCTGGATCACCCTGCACAAGAAAGTGGTCTCTGCTCTATCTCTGCTAGCCACTGCCTCCAAGAGCCACCTTCCACCCTGGGAACACAGTGTTCTGTGCTCCCGCCCGCCATGGACCTCAGTGCTCACATTCTGAAGCTTCAAAAGAGAAAAACCACCTAGCTGAGAGAGCTACACATCTCACAGGCCCCCCAGGCCAGTGCCCAAGGTCCCGATGGACCCCAAATGGACACTTTTTATATGCAAGGCTGTGGTTTGAACAGGAATGACACTAATACACGCATCGATTTGAATGCTTGGTCACCAGGAAGCAGCACCATTAGGAGATATGGCCTTGTTGGAGGAAGGGTATTACAGTGTGGGGGTGGACATTGAGGGTTCAGAAGCTCAAGCCAGGCCCAGTCTCTTCCTGCTGCCTACAGATCTGGATGTAGAGCTCTCAGCTCCTATTCTAGCACCATGTCTGCCTGTGTGCTGCCATGCTTCCTGCCATGACAATAATGGGTTAAACCTCTGGGGCAAGCCAGCCTCAATTATAGGAGCTGCTGTGGTCATAGTGTCTCTTCACAGCAATAGAAACCCTAAGAATGAGGCCCAGAGGGATAAGCATAGCTCCTGATGCCTTACTGTATTTCCCCCCCCAGGTAGGACCATGCACTGAGTACAATAGTAAAGTGTATGTCTCCTTTGGGTTTCCTGTCCCTCAAATCAGGCAGGCAGGCCAGACACAGACTCTCCCCCACCCCACACCCCTACCTGTCCACATCCAGAATGCGGTTTGTGTCCCGGTTCACCACATGAATCAGCAGCTCTGTCTGTGCAAAGTTCACCCGCCCCTTCTTGTCCACATGGAACTAAAGGAGAAGACAGTTTATGGGGTAAAAAGCTGGCATGGGGATGGGATGGGCAGGCATCTTGCAGGAGCCCATCCAGCGTATCTGATGGACTGATCACTACCACATCTGCCTGATGTGGTCACTAACTTCCACACAGGGCTCATTCATCATCAGCCTTCTTTATGGATAAGGAAATGGAGGTCTGAAGACCCAGGGCTCATTCATCATCAGCCTTCTTTATGGATAAGGAAATGGAGGTCTGAAGACCTGGAGCTGTCCCTCAAAGCCATGTAGCTATGAAGTGACTAAGGAGGTGTCTCACCTGCCCCTTCTCTTCCCACTGCCCCAGTCCTAGGACCCCAGGGAACCTGCACATCATCGGTGTTGACAATGGCGCCTGTGATGTTGGAGAGCAGGCGAATGAACTCCTCCTCAAAGCCACGCACACGGTCTGGGATCTCATTGATGACGATCTTAACACGCTGGTCATCCCTCAGGATGTAAATGCCAATGATGGCGGTATCATTGTGGCCGGCCAGGTCTCGAGCCACAATATCTACCACAAAATAGCCAGGACTGTAG